GGCTCCGGCGGCCAGGCCGCGACCGTGCGGGAGACGGCGCCCGCCCTTCGCGACCGGCGCCGTCCTGAGCCCCCGTGCGGGCGCTCGCTTCGCCCGCGCCGCTCGCGCCGCCCGCCGCGTTCGTTGCAGCCGCCGTCGCCCGGGCGTTCACGCGCCCGGCGCCCCCGCCGCCCACGCCCTGCCCCCCACGCCTCACTGCGCGCTGCCTATGTGGGAGGTGTGCTCGCGACTGACTGCCTCGGTGCATGGTCTTTACGAAGTACTCTCTATCTTGAAGTAAACTAGATTACGCTCGTGTACGATTGCAGACGAGTGCCTCTTCAACGTAAGAATTTTAAATCCTTCCATGGACAAACCACTTTTGCACGAACCTTCTCAAAAAGTACATATTAAATGAAATTCATGTATATTATCCAATGCCGAATGCCGTAAACCATTCGTGCCGTAAGCCATGCACCAAGTGCAAAGTAACCATTGTACTAAATAATTGACGTGTATTTGTTCCGCCTTCAAGCGGCTGTCGATTTATGAGAGCACACCTCCACATTTTTGTACAGTCCTCTGACTTTTCCTAGGGGCCTATCAAAGAAACGAAATGAACTTGAGTTTGCCATTGATAGAACTCTCTGCCGTCGTGAATCGGGCTGCCCGGCTCTTCAATACCAAATAGAACAAGTCACTACTGAGATACGCAAGGAAGCGGCCTCATAAGATTCCTAACAAACGGAGACGCTATCGAAAGCTTATTACAGAGGTATGACTGCTCCTTCACAGGGGACCTTCTGGGCAGACCCGAGAGCGGCAGGAGCCCACTCCGCGACCTTTGACCTTCCCGTCCCCGCTCCCCGCAGCAGCGTCCACGCCCTTCCCCACCCCGTCAGCCTCACAGTCAAAACAGAAAAAAGACACCTCAAGACCGGCTCCGGAGAGGCGTCGGTTACGGCCTACAAAAGTCAAAAGATGAACAAGGGTTCGATTTCCGGTTGAGCCGGCGACACTAGGTCCGCTGGCCACCGGCTGCCCAGAGGGAGAGACAAACGGAGACGGACTTTGTTAAAGAGAGTTCTCCGAGACACAAGTCACATTTTTTTCAAAATAATTTTATGGTGTACGTCTAAAAAAGGAACTACCAGTTATTCTCAGGTGGATGGGTGAACACTTGTGAAATGATCAGAATAACGTGTACCCCTGGCGCACCTCTTTCGCTAAGCCTGCCCCGACCACTCTCACTCCGACACTCTCACTTCGCTCACCGATTCCAACACACCAACTACTGCTCTATTATACTGTACTGTACGTCAAAAAATGACATCTCATCCATGTTTAACATGCACAGTCACGGGCACGCCTATATTATTATATATTATAAACAAGGAAAGAAACATCTTTATGCAGCACTTTGCGATATTGTGATATATATACGACTAAAACATTCCTGCCACTACTTTGTTATTTATTATTGCCTTGCACGATTTTTGCACACACACTTTATGGAATTTTTTTTCGATTGTAAAATAATAAAAAGGTCTTTTAAAAATTATGAAAAAAAGAGAAGTCCACCTCTTCTGTGTGTTTGTGTGTAGTCGTCTCAGCATGTGTAGGAACAGCGGGATGGTGGAGGAGCCAACCCGTACTTACAGACGAGGAGCGCTTTCGTTGTTTCAGATTTTCGCTCTGCCGTGCCCCACACGACCCCGCCCCTCCCCGCCACGCCCCG